GAGGCCCCGACCCTTTAGTAACCGAAGTTTGAATCCTACGGATAAATAAGCTTTTCTATGTCTTAGAATTAACCGAGAAACAAAAAGTTCTCCTAACAACCTTCATGCTAACCAATGAAGTCAAACATTGGTGGTGACTTAAAAAAAAAATCCTACCTACCCCTATCACTTGGGAGGTCTTCATGGATGCATTCTTTGAAAACTTCTTTCATGCTTATGTCCGAGAGAAGGAGTAGAAATTTTAGGACTTTCACTAGGAAAATTTGACAGTTGCCCAATATGCAGTCCGGAGGTTTACTCCACTAATGGTCACCCCTGAGAGTCGTAAGGGTAGGAAGTTTTTGAAGGGCCTTTGTACCGATATCTACGACCGGGTTGCAATGCCGAGACCCAGCTCATATGCTGAGGTACTGGAACATGCCTAATTGGTCGAAGATCTTATCTCAGTCTGACACTAATGCATCACTCGAGTCCGTACCCAACAACAGCAACACCAACCCTGACAATCCAGAAAGAGACGGTTTGACCCAATTAGTAGCCATCCTGATAAACGACCTCAAGATACCCCTCCCCCTGCTTTGCCTCCACCTACTGGACACCCTTCCCGACCTACCCAACCATGTCAGTATTGTGGATGCTTGCATGGTGATCAGCCCTATAAGCATTTGAACAACACCTGCTGTAAGTGTGGAAGCATTCAACATTTTGTGAAAGACTATCCCTCACGACCAAAGGACATGGCCAGACCAGTAGTCCAAGGTCGTGTGTACCACCTTAATGAACCCGGTGCCCTTGCCATTCTGTTCTAATCTAGGGTATGTTTTTTATTCATGACATTTCTGCTCAAGCTTTGATTGATACAGTTGCTACTCTTTTATTTCTTATACTTTTGCTTGTAAGTTAGATACTAGGCCTGAACCTTTAAATGAAGTGTTAGTGGTAGAATCTCTTTTTAGAGGTCTTTTAGAAGCTCACTGTATATATAAAAATTGTAAAATAAAAGCTTCATGTGTAGAATTAGTAGACCATACTTTCAGATTTTTCAGGATTCGATATTATCCTAAGTATGGATTGGTTAGAGACGTATAGGGCAATCATTAATTGTGAAAGTAAGATTGTAACTTTGCGTTCACCAAAAATGTAATAAAAATGAAACTGTTTTGCTACTTTCTAACCTTTAAATAAATAGGAATATGGATATCGATCCCACCATATGCATTATCTCTACTATTTATAACTTTTCGGATGTCTTTTCTGGATGATCTGGCTAGTCTACCTCCCCCACATGAGATAGAATTTTTATTGATTTGCTTTTTGGAACATAGCCTATCTCAGAAATTGCCTATTGCATGAGTCGCACTGAGCTCGCAGAATTGGAACACCAGTTCTCCAAACTTTTTGGTCAAAAATTTATCTGGCCTAGTCATTCCCCTTAGGGTGTTATGGTGTTATTCATGAAGAAGAAGGATGGCTCTCTCCGATTATGTATAGAGACTATAGAAAGCTCAACCATATAACGGTGAAATGTAGATATCATTTACCTCGTATTGATGATCTCTTCGATCAGCTAAAAGGTGCTACTATTTTTTCAAAGATTGATCTCTAATTGAGGAAAATATTCCAAAAATAGCATTTCAATGCTGATATGGTCAGTATGAGTTCAAGATTATGCCTTTTGGACTAACTAATGTCCCTACTACTTTTATGGATCTTATGAACAGGGTTTTTTGGTATGCACTAGATCAATACATCATCGTTTTCATTGATGACATCTTAGTGTATTCTAAAAGTCATGAAGAACACGCAACTCACTTGTCTCAAGTATTAGAAACCCTCCACTGGAACCATCTGTACACTAAGTTCAGCAAATACTCTTTTTGGTTGGATCGAGTCTCCTTCCTTGACCATGTAATTTCAGGTGAAGGAGTTTCTATGGATCCAACTAAGGTTGAAATAGTGATAAAATGGAACCTACCAACAAATGTTGTTGAGGTACGTAGTTTCCTTAGTTTGGTAGGTTATTATCGACTATTCATCGATGGATTCTCTAAGATTGTAGCTCTGTTAACCCGTCTCACCAAGAAAAGTGTACCATTTAATTGGGACTATGAATGTGATGAAAGTTTTACTGAATTGAAGTATCATCTCACGTCAGCTCTAGTGTTGATCCTCCTTAACAATACTAGAAGATTTTAGGTTTACTATGATGTATCTCACATGGGTTTGAGATGTGTTTTGTGTCGTACGATCAAGTAGTTGCTTATAGATCAAGACAATTAAACCTCCATGAGCGTAACTATCCCACTCATAACCTGGAGTTGGCGGCTATAGTCTTTGCCTTGAAGATATAACGTCATTATTTGTACAATCAGACATTTGAAATCTATAATGACCATAAGAGTTTGAAGTATATACTTTCACAAAAGGAATTGAATATGAGACAGAGGCATTGGATGGACCTCCTAAAGAACTACAACTGTAAGATCATCTACTACTCCTGTAGAGGTAATGTAATTGCTAATGCTCTAAGCCAGAAAGAGTCCACTTTATTGGCCCAAACAATGGCCTCTAGTTAGAAATTAGTTAGTGTTATGCAGGCGCTCTGCCTTAACCATTATGGCAATGGTGCCTACCTCGCCAAGATCTAAGCTTTGTCTGATCTTTTCATGAAGATATGAAAACCTCAATCCACCAACCTAGAAATAACTAAATATCTGAGTAATTTTACTTCTAATGAATTTCCTAATTTCAGACTCACAAATAATGGATTGTACATATTCGGGATCGTATATAGGTCCTTATCGCTATCAAGACAGATGTACTCAACGCTGCCCATGCCTCCAAATTGTCTATCTATCCCAGAAGTACCAAAATATATAAGGACTTGAGATATCAATATTGGTGACTTGAAATGAAAAAAGACATTGTCGACTCTGTCTTCCGATACCCTACTTGCCAGCGAGTTAAGGCTAAACACTAGAGACCCAGCGATTTGTTACAAGGCCTTCCTATTCCATAATGGAAGTGGGAGCATGTGACAATGAACTTTGTCACCAGTTTACCAAGAACTTGTTTTGGTCACAATGCAATATGGGTCATCGTTGACAAATTGACTAAAATCGTCCATTTTCTACCAATCAAAACCACATATTCCACCAGAGATTAGCCTGCCTGTATGTCGAGGAGATTGTTTGACTCCACAGCATTCCTTTATTAATTGTATCAGATAAAGATCCTCGATTCACCTACTATATTTGGGATAACTTTCAAAAAGCACTTGGTTCAGAATTGTACTTCAGCACTGTCTATCATACTCAAACCGATGGTCAGTCTAAACGTACTATCTAGATACTCGAAGACATGTTGTGCGCTTGTATCTTCGACTTTGGAGACAACTAATATGAGTACCTTTCTTGTGTGCATTTATTTATAATAACAGTTGTCATTCCAGTATCGGCATGATTCCGTATGAAGCCTTGTATGGTAGGCCCTACTGTTCTCCCACTTGTTGGAACGACATTAAGAACTAGTATCGATTAAGACCTGATTACATTCAAAAGACTATCGAGAAAGTTGTCATTATTCGAAGGAACCTAGCCACTGCTTAGAGTCGCCAGAAAAGCAACGCTGATAACCGTAGAAAGCCCTTAGAGTTTGTTGTTGGTGATCAAGTCTTTCTTAAGATTTTCCCTTATAAGAAATAAATGCGATTTGATAAGAAGGGTAAGCTGAGCCCCCATTATGTGGGATCTTTTCAGATCGTGAAATATGTCAGATCCGTAGCATATTACCTCACTTGAACCCCCAGAGTTTGTGGGTCTGCATAATGTTTTCTATTTCTATGCTTAAAGGGTACAACTCTAACAATTCTCACATCCTTTCTCATCAAGAAATGCATGTTCAAACATATGACTTATGAAGAACTCCCCGCGAAAATTCTTGATTAGACCAATAAAGTTTTACACAACAAGAGGATCCCAATGGTGAACGTGTTGTGGCAACACCATACTTCGAGATGCAACATAAAAGCTGGAAAGCAAAATACGAGAGAATTTCCTAACCTACTCATGAAAAATTTGGGGAA